TGATGTTGAGCGTTGGATGATACAGCTCCTCCCTAACTATCGGGATGGGCTCTCTGCTAACAGAACACTCAACGTTTGACAACACCAAGTCAAGTATCCTGTCATCAAGATTAGAAACGACGTTGTACTGCTCTAGGCCAAGAATAATAGTGAAGGTCATTAGGCTTGCGGGCCTTGGATCAGATTCATAATGAAGTCTCGACTGTACAATGAACATTACAAGATTCTTTAACTCAAAAAACGTTGTATAATTTTGCTAAAAAAGATTTTTGTTTATAATTTACGTTTATCACAAAATTGTTAGCGAAGGGAAAATAAGCTTATTGCTTCTGCTAGGGCTAGATCTATTTTGGAGTAACTTGATGAGTTTGGGACATTTGGAGAACTTTAATAGAAATAGTTTATATCCAAAATCGTTTCAAATAATTCAATCGTCCGTGCCGAAAGCAGGACCGGAGCAAAACGATAGTTATTTTTAAAAGCGGAATGATAATTATTACAAAAAAAGATGCTTAACGTATTGAAGATCATTCTTTATCAAAGGATTATGTGCTATGTGTTTGGAACGAAATTAATTTTTGCGGTCCGTGCCGAACATATTTTAGCACCTTATTGTACCGCATAATGTATTCATGTATTCAGAGATTAACGGCAATTCAAAAGCGGATTTTTGTTGTCCAAAAATAGTTACATAAACGATTTCTTTGCCGAAGAATGTTTAATGTAATATTTTAGCGAAGTTGTCCGTGCCAATTTATTTCCTTTATCCACGCGAAGTCACCGCACAGAATTATGCCTAGCTTTTACAGTTGAATCTATAATTTAAAAAAAAATACCGTTAAAAAATTATTGCAATCGCAAACAAACCGGTACGCCATTTCCAATTACAAACGCTCAAAGTAAATATGAAACCAAATAATTTTAAAAAGAAATGCATATTCGAAATTCCGTTTTAATTATCCGAGTCTTTTGTGCGACGATTTTAATAATGCCGAAATATAATATGCACCCGTACGTTTTTCCATTGAAAGGCGACAAAAGCTGAAATTTATATGAAAGCCGTCAAAATAAAATTGAAATAGTCACTTTCAAATACATGACGTCGCATTGTCCGGGGCATGAATAAAATTTTAATTTTGTTTTTCGCTTTTTAGAGGAAATATATAATCTCCATGCGAAAATTTAATTGAGTTTCCTTTATAATGCACTATTAAATTTTAATGAATGGTGAGGACATAATATATCCATGTGTAACTGAATTTCTATTCACGGTCAGCTCGCGATCAATTTCAATTAAATAATAGTTTTACATCAGGGAAAGGTCAAAAATTATATAAAGGAAAATTGCATTTATAAGGAACAAAAAATGTATTTCTGGAGTTGAGGGCACAAAATATTTAAAAATTAAGTCTCTCTATGAAATCTAATGACGCTGTCTGCTTTCAGATTCTTGTATTTGGCTGCTGTTCGCTCTTTTATATCTTCCTTGAATTATCTTTATCTATCTAACTAGCCAAAATTATTAGAAAAGAAAAATATTTTATTATTGATAAATAAAAATAATTCAGGAAAACATTGTTACTCTAATAACAATGAACCAAAATATTCTAAATTATGTTTTTGTTATTAAATTATTACTATCTTGAATTGTACATAAACTAAAAATATAATCGGCTAGAATTGGATAGATAAATAAAAAATAATAAAACTAAATATATTTATATGTTATTCTTATTGTTTTCAAAATTAAATCCTTTGAATAAAATCCCGGTTTGAAAGCTATTCCATATAAGGACAAATTTTAAAAAATATTCAAGATAGTAAACATTGGATCAAATACAACTCACAATAGCGAGCAAAGATATAATTGGTTGAATAGTTCGACTAATATTTTGAGTGATGATATGTATGTAATGGTCAGTATGAATAAAAATTTAGTAAAAGCTTTATCTTTTTATTCCTTAAGCCAGTACTTACTTTTGCGGTGAATAAAAATAAGTATGACTTTTAACTAAAAATGCAATGAGTAAAAGCCACACCTTTGGTTAATTTTAGTTAGCATTGTCTTTGAATGATGTGAATAAATGTGAGAAATGCCTAATTATATAAAGAAAAAACTTACAATTTTGCAAGCCTGGTAAACGCTGGCTTGAAAATTTTAGTAAAGTTTAAAAGCTTGGCAGAAATGGTATTTGTGAAATATCCCGAAAGAAAAGAAAGTCGTGCCGAAGAATAGCACATTCTGTATAGATTTAGTAAAAAAATGTTGGGCTAGAGGTGCGTTAACTCTAAAATATAAATACAAATATATATATTTTTTTACAAAACTTCTGGATTCCTCATGCGTCGGTTTTTGCTGAGTCGAAATTCCTGATGTTTCGCCAATCATCCTGTTGGCTTCTTCAGAGTTGGACTAAAACTGAAACTGAAAGCAGTTTCAATCAAGCAGGAGGAATCCAGAAGATTTGTAAAAAGTAAAAACCGACGCCGGAGGAATCCAGAAGTTTTGTAAAAATTAAATGCAAATATTTTTGCGATTTTCAAGTCATCCCGGGTTTCAAATGGATTGGAAAAGAAAAAAGAGTTCATAAAACCACATATATAACTATAGTTACCAAAAATCGTTGAAAAAGCAGGTATTTGCATTACATTTCCTTGAGAAAAGTCAATGGACCAAGCAGTCAATGAAAGGCCAGGGTTGAATAGATCGTAGACGTAACGATAGTAAAAGCATTGCTAAATGATGAATATATTATTAGAAAACGTTGGTGTACTCTAAATGTGCACAACAGTTTTTTATAATGTTATAATTATTTACCTCTAGCAATGTCTCGTCTCCAGTAGCATCGTTCTTTTCCTTTCCAGCAATAAGGTTCTGGTTATTGAAAAACTAAGGAGATAAACAATCTATTCGAAAATGAACTCTCTATTTTCAAGGGACCATAAGACAGAATAAATGTTCCAACTTTCGATAAGGACGCTTACTTACAGACTTCAGAAATCTGGTTTTTATTTTTGTCGGAAAGTTATCATCGTTATAACGTTCGACGAAGAAACTTATTAAAATTATTCACGTTGCAAAAACATCCCCGTTCGCTACAAGGGGATTATATAAAATATAAGCTCCCGAAAAGCAACTGATGCATATAGACACCAGGTGCCATTATTATATTCGTTAAATTGAACATTTCAGTTCCCGAGTCTTCTTTATCCGAAATAAGAATACACAGACTCGGCACACAAAAACGGAATACAATCCAGGTATTGTTGGTTTTCAATCAATGCGCTATTCATTGAAATCTGATTTTTGTCTATTTTCTTATCGAGTTCAGGTAGCGGTTTCGATTTGCAGCTTATTGTTTGACACTGGGAAAGTTATGTCGTCTGTCAGTATGTGCAAATATTGTATGATTCCCGCGTGATTCGTATCGCCTTCAGTTAATTTAATTCCTCAAGTTTGACGACTACACAATGGGCCTTAAATAGCATTAAACTGGTTTAGCGTATGAGTTTCACGGACACCCTGTAACAGAAACCTGAATTCGTAACAAAATTCTACTTCTTTTTTTGACGGTGTCGGTAGAACTCTGCCGATCAGAGGTTTGAAACCAATCCTGATTGAAATCAGAAAAAATAGATCCCAAGCCTTTTACCGCCTCTAAAACAAATGCCTGATATGTTTGGTATAACATATTTTGCTGATACTAGAACATGGCTATAGTAATTAGTTAATGTACATTATTGCTAAGAAATTCACAAAAGTAACTCTAAATACAACAGTTAAATGATACAACAAAACACTAACAATTTTCTGACACATCTGTGCTAATTAAGGCTATCGTAAGCTTTAACTTGCTGTTTAATTGTTACAAAATAATTTATAAAAATCGGTATGGATTACACTTCGCAACTAAGTAACATCCTTTGTTGTGAAAAATAATTAACCCTAAAATATTTAATTTTTATTGAACATTCCCTAAACCCAAACATTATTTTAATAATTAATACATACTTCATAAAACATGTTATTAAATATTTTAATGGGGTGTTCTTCCGCGTATTTACAACGAGGCTATTGTTCTAAATAATACGTTTTTGGCGTTATTATGAACACATAACATTCAACTCAGAAACTGATTTGGCTGTACACTGACAAAACTGTTTTTTTGTAACCTTTCACTAAATTTTTGTACTGCAAACTGGTGCATATTCACTAAGAAACTGTCAGCATTGAAAATATGAATGCAACTTTGACATCATATACATTTCGTCAGAACAAGTACGTGAGCTTGGAAGAACCTTTATATTATATACCGTATCTCCATGTTAAAGACTTACCGCCATAGTAACAACTTTTTCTAAACAGATTTTAATAAAAACATTTTGTCGGTTATATATTTAAATTATGCATTTTTGGCTTCAAAAGGCACTATTAGCGATATCTATCCAATTACAAAGATCAAGTATGCGCATTTTGAATTTTGAATACCTACCTAGCAAAAAAAAAAAATTAACAAAACCTACCAAAAAATAAAGAATTTTTAAACCCTTAACGTGGATCCAATGTATGTATTCAACAGAATTTATTTTTATAATCCAGAGGACAAAAGCAATAAAACAAACGAATGACAGGCATCAGGCATTTATGATCAGCAAGTAATATCTAAATATTTTTGTGGTGCTGGATATTCATAGGAAGTTTTTTTTTAAGAAAAACTGTAAGTGTTTAATTTTACCTGAAAAAAATACTGCAGATAATCTCGATGGGTACCAGACGTCATTTTCATTATTTACGTTTCAAAATAACCATTGTTTTCTGTAGGTAATAGTTTTATATTTTATTTTCTAGTTGCTCTTCAATCTATTTTTAGCATACATATTTTTGGAAAAATGTAAATCGTAGCGACGAGCCTAGCCTTCGTATCCAAGCGCTCTTTTCGTCAGTCCGGATTTAATATTTCGGTTTACTGAAAATAAGTAAATGCAGAAATGGCACTAACCTGCCCTAAGAGCGTCCATTGGCACCGAAGGGTACGGAATCGAATAGGGGTAACCCTCTTTCCTCAAGGTTTTCGGTTTTCTGCGAGGCCTGTATTTATAATCCGGATGTTCTTTCATGTGCATGGCCCTCAGCCGTTTGGCTTCGTCGATAAAAGGCCTTTTCTCGTCTTCCGTAAGCAGTTTCCATTCAGCTCCTGCAATATTAACCTATATTACAGATAGAAATGACAAAAATATACCGAGAAAATAACCTCGTTGCAACTTAATTAAAAACAAATGGGCACGATCCAAACTGCTTTTGTTATCTAAATGGAGGAAAATTTGATAATCTAGGATGCTTTCTCTAAGTACGGTAAAGAAATATTTTAATATTTTATATTTAAAAAAAAGTAATAAAAATGTTTTAGCAAATGTTTCTTCAAAGTCCAACTTTAAAAGCCGTGAGGAGTTAGAAATTTCAACTACTTAACCAAAACTACCGTTGCCTAGAAAACTCCACTTTTTATCGATATGTAACCATTATTTAATGGACCAAAATGAAATGAGTATTAATAATTTTTTATTCAAAAATTAATAAGTCAAAAAATAGTTTTGTTTCAAAAACTGTATTCTATTCAGATTTGTTAAAGTATACTTCTGTTTGGTAGCACTAATTTCGTAATAAATTTAGCAGAACAAAACTTTAACACGTTTAGTCATAAGGAAAGTAGGAAAGTATTTACTCTATTGTCTGTTATGCAACGAGTTTGATAAAACAAATTTTAGTCACGTGTGTAATAGTGTACTAGTACTAGCGAAGCGAGTGTTTAATAAACGAGTAATAATGTTGACGTCTTAAAGTCGTATTATTTGGTTATTTTAGAGTAGAAGAAATTTTCGCAGACAATATTTATTTCTTGAAATGAAACTTACTAAAAATTAAGAAACGTCTGCAAAATATACTAAATATCAAATATGTTTTAGTATTTTCGCAATTTTTTTTTATTAATATAACAGTTATTGCTCTTGCCGAAATTTTATGAAATAAATGAAAAAATGGTCACACTATGGATAACGGGAAAGATCGGTTTCAATTCATATTAAATTCCGAGTAAGGAACTGATGTTTAGAATTGCGAAACGCATCGAAAATCCGATAAACCAAGTCGAGATCAGGAACTGAAAACCGCACAACACTCATTGTGGACCGAAGTAAGATAAAGCAATCAGAAGAGAGAATCTCTTAGAAATTATGTAACTTCAAGTATCTATTCTGCGAACAGTCTGGGGACAATGCAAGCCAAACAATGCCAACTAAAGAGACATCTCTCGGGCCTTTGTCTCGTTTCAATCCGTTTGTCCGTATAAAAGAACAGTTTGAACTGCAAATCTATACGAAAATGTCGGAGCTTCTGCCATTTGGAACGGAGCTCGATTTAGGGATTTGATTATTCTCCCTCGCTAGACGGTCGAGAAGTCGAAATACATTTTGGGTTAGGCTTTAGATTAATTGTTTTCTGTCCTGTTTTTAAAGACGGAACGTGCTGATGAATGGAACGAAAACTCCACAGAATTATCATGAATGTGTTAAATGTTTTGTAGAACAGTTCATCCCCGTAACGTATTCGTGTTTGATCTAACAATTTATGATGCCTAACAAGAGAGCTAAATGATTTGTTTGTCAACAGGCGCCACAAAAAGGTTTTTGACCATTAGGACCATTTTTCAAACCGCTCATTCAGTTTATGCTCACCAAATAAGTGAATACATTTATTTCTTATTTCTTTGACAATGACTTGTTTATTATATCAAAGGAAGAGTGACACGCGGGCTATGCGGCGAAAATTATTTGTGTATCAAGGTGTAGAGACTTCAAATATTATCAATTATCAAATTAACTTGACGGACTTTAGGTCGGGTTTTAAAAAAATCGAATTCAGTCTATAAAAGTTATGTCATATGTGAAACCAGCGCATCAATTCAAGGTGATTAGGTCAATAGCTCCTAAATCAATAAAGTTAAGTCTTGCGTATGCTTATATTATACGGAAAATCTTTTCGAGTGTAAAACACAACTCAACTCAAAATTTTTTAACAATATAGAATTTATGTTTTATATTTTATCTCTACCGCATTTTATTTTTTCAATTTTATCAAGACGTTAGTTTATTAGTTTTATTAACAAATTAATAACCATAAAAAACTTACTACATGCATGGGCTACAATTTCTATTTCAATGTGTAAATATTACGAGTTCTTGATGTTTAATTCGACATCGCGTTCACCAAAAGCCTTCTTCAATATTTCCATCGTATAAAAAGGACCATATGCAAATAATAAAGTACAACTACATTACTCTGCAACTGTACTCACATTTTATTATTGTACTTCTGACACTACTTCCCAAGAATCGTAAAATTATATATTTTAAATAACTTAACTAAAGAACGTTAAATTCGTTAGGCAGATTCAAAAGAACCAAAAATCATGACTGTTCTAAGAGCTATGTAATTAAGTCAAGTGTGGGTTAATGTCCGCAAACGTACCATACTCTCAATTGATGTTTATGTTACTATTGAATAAACTATCAGTGTTAATTTTTTAGATTATTTGTGGGGGAATTTGTTACAAGTGAAGAGTGAGAAATTATCAACCTCTTTAAGCGATTTATGGAAAAGATATCTTGAAAAATTACATAAAGTGCGTGGGAAAATGTACAGCTATGGAACTCGCATATTTTGTTTAGCGTAAAATCTAATAACCATCCTTATTAAATTGCAATTACATATAATAGTATATTCAACAAGTGCAATAAACGGCATTTGACTCACGAGTTTATTTGACACGAGCGGAGCGAATTTTTAATAAACGAGTGAGTTAAAAAGTTTACCGAACGTGTTGCATACTTTACTTTTTTTTAAGACCGTTAGTCAAAATTCGAAGCTTGGGAAATATCTCCGAAAACATCCGATCACTCCCAAATCCGTGCGGTAAAATCCCGGAAATGTCCGAAGTGGCTCGAATTCATGGGAAACGAAACTGACATAGTAAAGTGACGCTTCTCGCACGCTAGATCGGTTGGTAATTAGGTGTTTTATAGACGGGAGTAGAAAATAGTATATTATGCAACAAGTGCATTTGACTCACGTGTTTATTTGATACGAGCAGAGCACACCGAAGTGAGTTTTTATTTAATAAACGATGAGTTAAAAAGTTCACCGAACGTGTTGCATACTATACTTTTTCTACGACCGTTAGTTTTTAGGTACATTCTCGCAAAACAGCACAAATGCATTCACTGACATAACCGTCAGAATTGACAAACGTCAAAATTCAAAGCGTGGGAAATATCTCCGAAAACATCCGATTGCTCCCAAACCTGTGAGGTAAAATCCCAGAAATGTCCGAGGTGGCTCGGATTCGTGGGAAACGAAACTGACGTCGTAAAGTGATCGGTGGGTAATTAAGTATTTTACAGACGGGAGTAGAAAAACGGCATTGTTGGTTAGTTTTGTATCATAACCATGTACCAAGTATCAGATCAAAAGCGTAAAAAGATTTTACAGTGTATTTATATCGAACTTAACATGAAATATTTACCGCAATCATGCCCCTAACAATTGGAAACTTTGGGTTATTTCAATGGCATCGTGATTTGGAACTAATAATATATCGATTTATCTAACCTTAGAATTTAATTACTTACTTTTAAGTTTTTAAAAATAAATATTTAGTTACTAATTTTAAGTGTTTGTGTTCATAAGTCATAGTTAATAAGTTAATAAGTTCATAAGCAAAAAAGTATATATAAAAAACATCGGCTTTTTGATAAATCCTAACATTAAAGTCCAGTTTGAATCCCATAAATTCTTTTCATTTGTGCATTGGAAATTTACTATAGTTTTTGTAAATCTTTCCATAAACCATAATAAACGAGAATTTTCAATGGATGATGTAAGCACAACTAAACGTAAGCGCCATAGAAAAAAAAAGATCGCCCTAAGCGCCAAATTTAATCATAAAACTAATATAAAGTGTTAACAGGGTTATCATATGACGAAAAAATGTTTTCTTTATGTAGTTAATCACATAATCATCAAAACAAGTAAGAGAAAACTAAGTAGCTAAGCAGAAAATTTCGGCTTTTCTATTTTCCTCAACAATTTAATAACTGGCGCTTATGTCGTTTCGCCCTCGACTCATCGATATGATGGCACTCTGTATACCTTGATAAGGCCTTAATAGCTTTGACAACTGCCCCGGGGTGTTTTTCCTGCATTTTACTTATTCGCGTTTCATTGCTGTCATGCATTCTTTAGGTTGACAGATACCAATAAAGATGATAAATCAAAACAGGGTATTAACTTCCAAAACAAAGATTTGATATTGACTACACTGCTCTCTATAAGCAAAATGTATTGCAATAAAAGATCATAAATATAAAAAATAAGTCTAAAGCTTGTTTCGAGTGGGATATACGACATTACTGCAGCAGTAATTGCTCTTTTCTTTTATCGCCATTGAATAAATCCAGTTGATCTCCATATGCCAGTTTATTTCATGGATTGATTTTTTACTAAATTTTATCTAAATCATATATCTAATTTTTCCACCATGGAGTAAAATTTGCTATTAACAAAACTTTTAATTTCAATTGTCACTTATCATTTTTCGAGAATTTTTATGGTAGCTAAACTAATAGGAAGACGTAAAATATATTGAACTCCAAAGATGAGATTAACAAACTCGGTTTCAAAAAAATTGTCATTGCGTTCGCGTATTTCTCAGGAACACGCATTTCGAACAATATCAGTAATATCAGTTTCCATGTAATTATTGAATGCCAGACATTCTGCTATTGGTCGAACAAAGGAGCTGCCGATTGGTCGTCCTTTAGCGACGCCGCATCCTTGTATTACATTGTGATCGCTTTTTGTTTCGCGTTTTGTCATTTTGTATCGGAAACTTTGCAAAGCGCCTCTCGCCGCCTTTGTGTCTGTCCTTTGGAGCGAGATAAGAATTAATTACAAGCCGTGATGGCCTTTTGTTCGCTTTTCGTTCTCAATTCGACTCGAAAGGTACAGGAATATCACATTTTAATGCCGTTCTGTTGCGATTTGTTGTATTTATTTTAGGATTGATAGGGACGGTTTTTTATTTTTTATATACAGGATGACTAATTAGTAGCGGCGAAGGTAGGACTTAACCATCTAATACCTAATAGTCGTAGGACTTTGGGAAATAGAAGTGGTAACTACGGAAGTGCCATTTTCGGCAAATGCAATAAAGGCACTTATTGGAATAATACGTTTTTTAACAATTAAAAAAAATTATCAATCCGAGGTTAGTGCTTTATGAAAACTATAACAATTATTTTTGAATATTTACATTAAACGTGCAACTATCAACTAACGTTCAATATCTGGAATTTGAATTTTGTCATACAATAACTAATTTTTGTTCATTGGCTGCATCTATGATGTAAAATTTTAAAAATACTCTATATATCATACTCATGATGTTTTAAATCAAAAATTTTAATATATTTTTTATTGTCCAGGTATTAATACCCAAAACCGATAAAAACAATGTGTAAATTTTTGTTTTGCTGTTTATATAGTTTTGTTTATTAATAGAGACTGGACTAGAGCCGATGTCACACTATAAACTAGTCGAATATTACTATTCCCTAATTATTTTTTTCATTTATTTGGAATATGGAGTTGAAAATAAAATATAAAAATGTTGAAACTTTCGATAAACTATATAGAAGGAAATAAAATTATAAAAATTTAGATTTAAGCGGTACAGGGGGTACAAAAAGTAATAAAATCATCAAAATCGCCATTGCCGTCTTAATAACGCTGTTGACATTTGTTAGGGGTTTTCAGGCCAAATTTAAACAAACTCTATATAGTTTGAAAGCGTCTTCAAAAATTATTTTCAATTTTTTAATAATACCACTCAAGTATTAAAAAGAAAATAAAAGAGACGGTCGAAAAATTAAAATAAAAATGTATGTCTGTAGTTTTATTTTGGTTTATAAAAGGGACAGTCGAAAAAATGTAGTTTTATTTTCGTTTTCAGTTATGTAGTCCAAAAAATACTTATGTATAGAAATGGGATATTTATATCTCTTGTTTTCAATTATTTTTTATTTTATTTTAATGGCGATTCGATTTAAAAAGAAAAACTAAAAATAGAAAACTTCGTAGACAAAAGTTGCTAAAGTTAAATGGAGTTGATTGGGTTGAGATGCGTCAGCTGTTCAGGCAAATCCCACAAAACTATATCAATTATTAAATACGCAACAATACCCTCATTAGGAAACACAAACATTCGCTCGCATGGGATGGATGGTTATTTCTGACGCGCTTAAAAAAAAAGTAAAAAATACATTTCAGTGGGAAGCGTAAGAAAACACGAGGTGCATATGAAAACACTTAAACGTTCGTATGAGCGTGAAACAGCAGCTGTAGACTGTCACTTGTCCATCATAGCCCGGCGTGGATGATCCGAATGTATCGTGAATAAAACATGAGCCCCCCACTACACGAGCAACTGCACAATATGTTATGATATGCCTTTAATGCCATTTAGGGGTGGAAAATCTATTTAAAAATGACGTTTACAGGATACATATGTGAGGCGGCCATTCATATGCAAAGGGGCCTTTTTGTACAGTTTTAAAATTCATATTGTGCGATATTAGGTCCGTAGCGACGGCAAGTTCATTTTTCAATGGTCTTTCAATTCGCGCTTTACGTTATAGACGGGCAGCTTTTGTTATCGTTTCTTCCTAACCAAATATTTATACTCCGACCCGCTCTTCTATGGATATTCTTTCTATTGTGCGCGTTAATTCAAATTATGTAACGAAGTCGTTAGTACGTATCCAAAGCCAATTAACAAAAGCGTTGGTTTGGAGAGCTTTGGTTAGTGTGATTTTCCGTGTTTTATTTCTACGTTATTCTGCATTTTTATAATATTTAATAAATACTATAGTACAAATACATCTAGTTGTGTATTCAATTTTCATTATTATATATCAAAAGTAAAACACAAATTGGTAATTCTTGATACTTTTAACGGTTTTTACAATAAAACCATTTTTGAATTTAAAGATGAAAAATTGTTCAAAATTGTAGGTAAAATAGAGAATAAACTTTAATGTTTGACTGGGACTCACCTAATCTTTTTGAGATCTCTGAATTGTGCATTTTGGGATTTTCCTGAGCGATTTTTCTCCTCTGGAGCCTGGACCATACCATGAATGCGTTCATCGGCCTCTTGATGTGGTCTTCTTGCTTCTTGTTCGCTTGGGGCGCCTGTAGACCCTGAGGTACGCCCAGCGCGGTGCCTCCGAGAGAAGCCATTCTCGAAAAACCTTCGGCGGCATTGAAACCGGTTTCGCACATCTGGCTAACCGATCTGAAACAAACGTATATTTGATATAATTTCGCATAAAAGTCGATTCTTCCGAACACTGACTGATCACTGTGCAACCTGAATGCCCGGTCTCTTAATATGTATTTTGTTGTTTTGCACTTCCTTTGCCAACATCTTTTGGGTATATTCATATTTTACTGAAGCATTTTCTATATTATTCTCGTCAGTTTTCTAGTAATATTTGGTTCTGTTTTGTTCATATGCAAACCAAAATGTACATAATTATCACAAAATAAAATAAAATAAAAGTAAATAAAAGTAAATAAAAGTGATAGGTATAAAATAAAAAAATATTTTATAAAATTATAGCCAAACGTTGTTTAAATTAATTTGTACTTTTAAAATGTTATATTATATACGGGATACTCGTATTTTCGTGCATAGAGCACTCATTTATATTTTGCCACTCACCTGCAGAGTTTGGTTTGTTGTGGGCCTCCTGGGCGAGTAATTTTTTTATGAAATTGTACTGGACTGAATTTTTATATTTTATTGATAATTCAAATGAAAGAACAAAGAGGAACACAAAATGATTTGCATTGAACAGTGGTATTGATCGTATGCACATATAGGCACATTTAGTTGCTGGACTGGCTTAAAACCAAAATCTGAGTCGACAATTCGCCGCGCCATCTGGCGTTAGGAAGCTGTGGTTGCGCTCTCACAGAAAGCATTTACAGAAAACTATCCATTACCTATTATCTTCTGAACGTACCAATAGTCAGAAAGTCGGGTACAAAAACATGCAACAGTCTTCTGGAGGATCGTATTTTCAAAATCGATGGTGTTTTAGCAATAAGAAGCAAGGGTTCGGTCAGCAGTTGCAATTCCGGGACATCTGGCGCTGAGAAGCTCGGAAAGATGTAATTTTATCTCACACCTCCGAATTGTTTCGCCAATGCTGAAACTTTGCAAGATAATAGTGAAGACAATATTTTTATCAATAAAAACAATCAAATTCGTCGACAGTAGAAACCAGTCAGTCATCAGCAGCTCTCGGAAGTCAGAATAGTGATAGCGAGCGCATGCGGGTGTTTACTCAATATTGTATATATACAATACATCGATATTCAAAAATAATTTTACACAAAACAAAATATTTTAATTGTGTTAATCAATTATTTGGAATGAAAAACAATAAAATAAAATTGAACAATATTGAGTGAATAATATCAATTTCGCGGTTAGAAAAAGTCGGATCTCGCATATATTGGCCATTTGGTCAGCAGATCTGTAATAGTATTTAAATAAATTCAGTGATATTTATCTTCACGAATGTATTAAGTCAAAAAAAATGACCATATTAATTTGAAATATTCATTCATTTTTTTTTAATTTATATTTTTATTTATTTTACAACAACTGTCGCTATTTTTACAAATACCAGAAATTACAAAAGAAATTTTGTAATTGTTTTATAACTGAAAAAATGCCAAAAGGGAAAAACTGAAAACTAAAATTCAACGTTCAGAATCGTTTCCGTCGCTTTGATCGCCACATTCTTCATTAGAATAAAAGGTAATTGCATCTTTTCCTTCGACGTCCTCTACTGTGGTTGATTTCAAATCTGTGTACAAAACGATACTAAATGTATAGTTATACACCTCAATGTCTTCATCACGACAACTCAAGTACACTATACAGCTTTACAGCATATGCGCTTTACAATTACAATTTTATTTTATTGTTTTTCATTCCAAATAATTGAAACACAATTAAAATATTTGGTTTTGTGTGAAATTATTATTGAATGTCGATACATATTGCGTATGCGGGTCTTTAGCATACGCGCTATCACTATTCTGATTTTCAGCAGCTGCTGACTGAAAGGCTTCTACTGTCGACTAGTCTGAATGCTGATTGATAAATATACTGTTTTCACTATTATAGAAAAGTTTCAACCTTCACCGTGAGTGACAAATTTATTGTTTTACAGTGTATTCAAATTTTTAGCCCTCAGAAAAGAGCTTCGAGGTGTCAATTAAAATAACACCTTCGCGATCGATTTTGGACTACAATCAAAGCAAATATAAAACAATCAAAAATTTTATTAATCAAAAACATTGTTAGAATTTAGTAAATGTTTGTAATTGTTTATAAGGTTTAGTGGCACCTTTACAGACATTAATAGTGACATGACGAATTATAATTTTTAGATAGACGAAGTATTTGTTTATAATATGCGTTATTAGGAAGATCAAAAACATGAAAAATTTTATTTCCAATTCATACAATAAAAGTGTCAAAGTGTCAAGTGCGCAAAGTCGACGTGAATATCACCAACATTTTCTCGGATAAAGTAAACTGAATATTGATTAATAAACTTTAGTTATTTCTAACCAAGTATAGAACAACCATACATTTTTGAAAACGGTCTTTATGACGATCATTTCTTTTTATTGATATGTTCATGAGATAATGAAGAAAAAATCATACAACTTTTATATGAAAAATTTTTACTTAGCCTTTTTGGCAGACTCTGTAGCTGGGTATCAAAAAATAAATAAAAACCTTATCCAAGTAATGACTTTCGTACTTTAAATAAGAACATCGTGTACATTAAGGGACTCTTGAATTCCTCGAAACTTTCTGGCCTTTATATAAGATCCTAAACCAAAGTCTAGAGAGTTCTAGCAATTCAAAAATTCCTTATTATAGAGGATGTTCTATTTAAAACAAGAAAGTCATTAATTGTAAAGACAACACAGAATACAACAATGTTTAACTTTGTTTTTTTCCTAAATATTTTTCACTTTATCAAAATTTTGTATATTTTACATTCACCATAGACAATGACTTGTGCATCGAAAAAATGCAATTTTTGAGTCAAAAATCAAAATTTCTGGTAACAACGTAAATAACGAAATATTTGACCAATATCAGGAATCGATGTCTATGCATTTTGTATCTTTGTACCTTCCTTTCAACGTATTTGACCTGTGGTGGATAGGACGGTTACTCTACATGGTTACAGAGACATCATACTAAAACTGAATGCAACTGACTCTTTGTAAGAACTCTGCCCTTTTCAAAGTCACGGCTGGTGAGACGGCAGAGAGTGATAGGCACTGCTGTATTCTGTGTAGCTCTCGCAGTAGAATATCAGAACCTCAGAACATTAGAAAATCACATTCTAGAACTAGAGGATCTTGGGAACAAAGCTTCCTTCCAGTTAACCCAGCAAGTATCCATGCAAGACGCTATAGATTATTTAATTCCCCTTTTACATTTTGAAATTTCGGACACAAATAAAGTTAAGCAAAAATTTGTTCAATATTCGTAACGCTTTTCTCAGATAAACGCTTAAATGGTGAAAAACGATTTTTTTAGTACTAAGTTACTGCGAATATTTTCTGTGGAAGTTTTTGTCCCGTATTGCCAAAGCTGATAATATCTACACCGTTCACAATCTAAAAGAAATCGATCTGCATCTAAACAAATGGGAGCAAAGCTAGGCCGAAAATTAATTTTACATAAATAATAAACGGTTGTTTAAATAACGAGCGTTAATTCAGTTTGGCTTTCTTTGGCGTCTCGCGCTTTTCATATTCATAAGCAAAAACACAAAAGGCTAAAGCTTTCACGCCGAGCAAGATAGGCTCATGTTTACTTTTCATAACTCCGTATTTACCGAGTCCCCGTCATGTACGTTCATAACTTTATATTTATTTTCGTGTTTGTTTTAATATACTCGTGTTAGCTATTCTGCCTTGCGAGTCTAATTACCATTTTACTATTGTTTAAAATCCACCAGCTTTGTTTACTTGCTTGTAGACATTTTTTATTATTCAAATGCGGTGGAGTGTTATTCGATAGGTTATATCCTGAGACTAAGTAATCTACACGGTGTTTGACATATGCAACGCGTTGCTCGAGTGTGTGCGGAGTTGTCACTTGGAATGTAAATTTTTGGGATACGTTTCTGACATATTTCGATTGCTTTCCGCTTCTTGATCGCATAGCAGCTCCTGCTGATGCCTGCACCATAACGTAGAAACTAAAAATTACATGCTTTCGATTTGCTCTTTGTCATTTGGGAGATCAATTTACATGGATGGGCAACGATTTCTTTAAAAAGCTTGAGTTTCTACATCATCATTGCCGAAAAAGTAGAGGGTAGATGATCAAATTTTGAATCAATCTCAATTCCGGGAATGGTTTACTGTGGTCTTAAAATATATTTTATTTTACTTTACTTTCGAACCAAAATCGACTCAGAAAAGTTAATGTGATCATCAAGTAAAATTCAAAATGGAGGAAGAGGGATATATCAGCGACTGGATGTTTAAAACTGTGAAATGCGCATGTGTTGAAACCTGTGAAATGAACAGCTTGTCGTAGATGACTTTTCGGACTCACCGTTGATGATATTGAAAAAATTGGCTTTATAAGTTGACCTAATAAAAGCAAATTTTTTTGTTAACTTATTCTTTCAATAAAAACATCTTAACAATTTTAAGGTCCTATCATCTTTTTAAAAATTTATTGCATATTTTGTTTATAATTTTGAAATGTAATGTTAAGGTCAGAGCAAACTATATCTGTTTCTCCAGATGTATCCCGATATAGGTATCCAATGCAAATAAAGTAGGTGGAAAGTGCGAGCAGGGGTCAAAATTATGCTGAACTGTCGCATAGTTACAATTATGTTTTTTTAAAACCATCTTAAAATAATTGTTTTACTGCAAATTAAAATCATCCCACCCAACAGGTCTAAAAAAGGATTCGTTTAATAAAAGAAACAACGACCGCAAAAAAAGGGAATAACTATAATTTATAATTCTATACATTTTGCTTATTTATTTTAAACCATTCTAAGAAACTTTTGCACTTTTGGTCACTTTATTATTCCTATTGTGGGTTTTGATTTAAATACGAGTTTATTCTTTGGTTCAAACCCAAATTTCAACAAACATCGACAATTCGACACAAATAAACCGAAAAAGTTTTCTCCGAAGGTTGACACCTGAGCTACAGTAAACCACCACGCTCAATTATACCCCCAAATTGACTTATAACAATCTTAATAATCCCGTGAATGGCCTTCTGCAGTGGGAGTTATAGTCCGAAGGACCGTTGAAGGACCGAATAAGGGACAAACAACCCCTGGCGGACGCCGTTGACCAATTCGTTACTCCGTTTCCTCAAACGCCCAGGTCCGCATTGTAATATTTTCCATTTCCCCTTAAAATTTTCTAAATATCTGTTCCTTAAATATGGTGCCTTTATGATTAATGGAATAGCCTTCATACATATCCGTTACGATAATTTCGTTTTCCACAAAATAATGTACACATTTGCGGTTAATTAATACGCCAGACAGTGAAAACTGTCTACCTCAGTAGAACAGTCGGTCCGTGGAGATTCTAGTATACCACTTCTCTTATTTCTGTGGACGTAGATGGCATGTTTCGTATGTTTATACATAAGAAAGGAACCGGACAAGCTGCACAGGAAACTCTACTAATTTTTTTGCGTTTTGGTTTTGTCCACTGGATGTAAATATTTATTATGATAAATTACTAATAAATTAGTTGCCATTTACTAAATTGAGGAAATATCTTGATGTTGACATATTAAAATTCAGTTTCTTATTCCAGCCTCAGTATTATTTGCAATTTGCAACCCTCCAAACCTTTTTTCCATAGATATTTGGTTGACTTCCTCGTGGTCTCTTGGCAATATAATTCGTTATTATTGTTAAATACGACAGTTATTTTGAATATTAGGAAATTCCTTAAATCTCTACGGTGTAAAAAAACTAAGAAAATTTTTTATATAAAAAACGGAACGAATTGACTATTCCATGTTTTCTCGGACCTTGGAAAACTAATAAAAAATGAAGCAAACATATATTGTCTCCTGTAACAAATTTTTTAACTTCCGTTTCTAAGAATTTAAAAAAACTTGAAGACGCGTGGGTACTCATAATCAAAGAACTACTATTTTTCCGAAAGGTTTGAGGCGCATGCGCTTTACTGAATGCTGGCTTCCTTCCTTTAGTTGTTTTTTGAGTTCACAGAAAAAGTTAAGATTGCTACTTTTGCGGAAATATACAGCATGAAACCAAAACAAAACACTTAGAGCATATATAGTTAATTTTCAGAAAATATTGCCAAAAGCAGAGTTGTTGACTAATTAAATTTCCTGAATTTTGAATATTTTAAAGTACTTGCCACGACTTTTCCAAGACAACTTCTAAATTTCACGATTTTTGCTTGTTTTTTAGGTTAGTGGGTAGTCTATGTAAGGTTTTCGTATTAATATAGAGTACATTGCAACATTTTGGACAGTCGGGTCATCATTGAATTTTATGTTACACGCAGCTGGTGTTATTGCGAAGATTTGCCCTTAATGCCATCCTGCACGAACGCAGCTGTATAGGAAACAGAGCGAAACACGCGTGAATTAACTGACCAGTGGAAAGGCAGGGGTTCGGAGTTTTGGGATCTTCTAATAGGCCGCCAGAAAAATCATCAAAGGATTTACACCAGCTCCGCTTGACCTGTTGAGTGCTTGAAATAAACGTTGAAAACGAGACCGTTCACACTCGCAAAAAATACTTTTTCACACTACAGTTTTTTATCCGTGAAACAAGCCAACCCTCCCGTCACTGTATTTTTTAGAATTTGCGCTCATCTTGGAGTATTGGTATACAAAGAAGATTGCACAGCAAATGCGAATATTTATAGTGTAATTTTTGGTGTCCGCTTAGAGCTCTTTAAAAATCCAAAATATGGTGCTCGTAGTATCTAAAATGGAGTGTGTAATAGCCCATATTAATCACATCATAGAGCTGAGAAGATAATACACTGTATTTGAAAGTAGTTAGAAGTGTTTTTAGATTAGGTTTATATTTGAAACATTTATAAAACTTTATATCCGTTGTGGTTGTAAAATATTCTGTCTGTTACAGAATAAGGAAGTGATTGCCAAAATTCAAAATGTGATTTTATATTCCTTTGAAATCCTATCAGAAAAAAGAAAGTTCACATCTAGGCAAGAGTTAAAGTTCAACTCAGCAATATACTCTATTCATCTATTTATCGGATTTATAAGCAACGGATCATGGCGAACAAAGAGGACGTCGTCCAAGTAGCTTGCATTACCTGTATATTTGACCTGTATTTTGGTTTTTGCCACGAATTAAGAAGTTTTTTTTAGAAAAATAATAAGAAGGAGATGTTTAGTTCGCTAATCATTCTAATATTAGAGTTTCAAAATGAAAATTTGAAGAAAGTTTTGAACCTTTTGGCTTCTAAATGCCCAGAGTTTTGCGAACAGTAATTGGTGTGTTATTAATATAACATTTAAATAAACCCTTAAGTAATTTCATTAAGAGATCCACGGCAAAAATGCAAAAAGTACATTTTTTAAAAGTTTTGAACCTATTGCAATATGGTTAATTTTATCGTAAACCACTATAGTTGCCAAATACAGCAGATCAATCGAATCAAAAGCATGCAAACCATACCACATGAAAATATGTAATTCCTATAATCAATCAAGAAGAACCATTTGAAGTTACAGGCAAAATTGGCCATACTGCAGATTTTACATACATAACGTCACTTTAAACTTTATCGTAAATATACTACAGCTTACAATTACAGCACATCAACCAAATCGAAAGTTTACCTACGCCATGCCGCATGAAACTATTTAAGGCCTAGACCATAATCAAACAAACATGCTCACATTCACCTTCTCGGTCGGGTACCACGCGCACACCTATTTCTTTATACTACAAATTATCAACATTCCTACCTAATAAAGTGGCCGTTCGAGGCCTGCCTCTGGAGGTCCAGATCAATTTTGAGGCCTTTTTTTACACCACGTCACTAACTATAACCAATCCATACGAAACCCGCAACACAAAACCGTTGTTTACCGTCCGATTGTTTACTTATCTAGAGCTAATCAGTGTACTGTGATGGACAACAACAACAATACACAACGGCAATTCGTACGTGCAAATCTCATCAACTCGCGGCGGTCTGTGTCGAAAGTGTCCGCCGCTAAAGGTAAATTCACACTGGGCATGCGTCCGTCATTTCCTAAACGAACTACCAATGAAGAAGGCAGGCGGGGTTTGCCGCATTATCTAGACACGTTCTGCTTGGAAAACAGAATGGGGCCCGCCTTACCATTCTCATGTTAATTTTTTGTCTCTTACGCCTTTGTACAGGTGTTTCGGAATTGTGTGTTCGTTTTATTTTTTGTCCCTTATTTTCTTCTATCGATTACGTTTTTAAGATGTCGATGCTTATTCGGCATTTGATATTCGCCTCCCGGATTGATTGCGCGAGACTGTGTGATTGTACCTGCAAACATCCCCCCTCTCCCTCCAATGACAGAATGGTGCGTAGTTAAATTCGGCCCGTCTCCGAGGAACTTTTGTTTCTTTAAGGGATATCTAGTCGATATCAGTCATTTTATTATTTGCAAAATAGTGTGATGTGGTACACTGGGGTAGATTGTAGACAGCTTGATGAGCAACGACAAAAAAAAACACTTTCTAATATGCCTCTTGGACCATTATTATTGTCTATTATTAACAACGATCAGTCTGATAAAAATAAGTGATTTCCTAAAAATAAAACGGCTACATTCTCACCCTAAACGCTTGCTCTATATATGTCTTCAAACTTTATTATGCAGCTCTGTCAGAGACTTGGACGTGACCTTCGTGTCACAGCTTTCGTTTGTTTAACACATTGATATGATAAATAAATCTTCCCTTAAAACTCTATTATTCGGAATATCTCAGAATTTTCTGGTATTGCTGCCGGTTTATGGTGTATTATTCTTTAGTTAAGTCTAGCGCACCAATTCATATTCGATCTTTTAAGTACGTTCAAAAACGATTTCGGATTGTACTATTATTTGTCTCAATTTTCTAAAAAGAAAGATCTATAACGGATTTCTAAGAGTGAACAGCTTGTTGATGTATCACGTCACATATGGGGGCCATATTTTCAACAAATAGATCTTTAAAGCCTTGACACCAACCATAATAACTGATGAAATGCGTAGGCCGGAGAATGACTTGAGCCATAAGAGGATTGAAAATAATACCAATAGCTGTTGTAGGAGCATCTCTATGCCTGTTTATAGTGCATTGGAATTTTAACTTTTAAATCACGAATTGGTAAGTAAAATCTAGTCTATATTGAAGAACAAAAGTCTTTATTTAACTATTGAGTTATATATTATGACCCTTGTGTTAGGATGTAATAAAATATTTAAGGGTGTTGTAGAATTACTTGAATTGGAAAGGGCATTCAACTGATTGCAGGAAAAACTAAGGAAATAGGTAAAGGAAGACGAGCAAAAATTCGTAGTTTCGTAGAAGAGTTCACTTTTTCTATTTTAAAAAGAAAATTTTCAACCTAGATATTACCTTTAATGGTAAGAAAAGCATAATCCCAAAATGCTTTTGTTTGAGACAAATTAAATGTTTGTAACAATTCGAAAGAATTATGAGTACTAGAGATGTGGAAAGATAAATATATTTTTGTGATCGTTAAGCTTGCATGAAAGGCTGGTAGGCGTGTGTTAAAAAATACCATCGGGAGAAGCAAAGACTGATAGTTAGATGCGAATATTGATTCCTTGAAATGCGCCTTTAATTAATAATTAAATATATGTGCTCATTATAAATAATTTAATCCAGATAACATTTTGCATCCAAAAAAATTATAGGTCAAAGTTTCGCAAATTTTTGTTTTTTTTTTCAATTTATCTATTAGAGTTTTTTTTTAAACAGCACACGTCCCCTTTTCTTAGTATATATTCGTTGAATCAGAATTTTCACCGGTAATAAAATATAATTAAATATTAAGAAAGCAATTGCAATAGCCGATATCCGCAAGCAGCAATTCATCCCCGTATCTACCCCGCAGCAAGCGCATCGCCATTATACGCGATTTGTTGGTATTATACTCGACATTATTACCATCACAATAACAGTTATGGCGTAATTATTAAATAACACAATATGCTAATGCGTTCAAAGCACCCTATCCTGTTCTGACAGGGTACTTTGGATTATCGAAGTTTTATTACTTATTTTTTTTTGTGTGGGCATTACGTATGTGGTCTATTTTGTAGTTGATTTATTTCGTCTGTCTTGAACGGTGGATATGAATTAATAACGATGTCGAAGGGGTGGTATATACATGTGTGGCTTTATGCGGTACGAAGATAATACGACCGTTGGTGTAATATTAATGTTGACAAATTGATCAAATAATTGAAACCGAACAATGAGCGGCTCGGAAATGTAAGTGCCTTTAATTGAATGGTTTCGATTTGAATACATTTGTATATATCTTCTTGCGAAATCATTTGTCGCGTGCGACGGCAATGAGTTTGTTTCAGATTATTATTGCAAATAAAATGCTTTCACGTATATAACAAAAAGTAAATAATAACATTTAGTTATTTGATTTATACCAAAATATTGGGATAAAATTTGTTTTAGAAAGCCTACAATGCTAAAATCGGCGATCATTATAATCATCATTTCTACGTAGATGTAGACTGTGACATTGAACAGTTTTGCGCAATAACGTAAATCGAGGAGATAAACTATCACCTTTCACAAAAATTTCAATACTTCTTTTATTTGTGTAATGTGCAATAAAAATTCTTTGATATATATTAAAAAATAATATAACGGAACAAAAAATGACAAAAAATAGAGAAACTGGAAATTTTAATTAACCTTCTTAAGGTCATAGAGTTTAATAAAAATGACCTCGCACATTATGTATCCAATTTTTGTGTATGTATATTACATAACCTATATTATATAACTAGTTAATACTTTTTCACAGTTCAATGCAGAAAACACAACTTAAAAGATAATATGTTTAAAAAATGGTAGCTTTCAATTTTTTTGGAACTACCTTACTATTTATACTATTATAAATATTTACCTGAACTTGTAGAAGTTGTTTTATTTATTTATATTCCTACATATACGAACAGGTACTTGCAATAAAAGGGTGCTTACTGATAAATCTAAATTAAAAAGAGACATACTTACTAAGCTATACTAAAAAAGAAAGACTAAAAGACTTTAAAGAGAAAAGGAGTACAACTACAAGCTGAAAGAGTTTATGACAAGAGTATTTGTATTAAATAAATTTATGTCAGACTCTCTTAACGATCTGTTCGGAACATGGAATGAAATGAAACAAACAATTCTCTCTGTATCCAATTTTTGTGTATGTATATTATATAACCAATATTTTATAACTAGTTAGTACTTTTTCAAAATTCAATGCAGCAAACACAACTTAAAAGATAATATGTTTAAAAAGTGGTAGCTTTCAATTTCTTTGGAACTATCTTACTATTTTTCCTTTAAAAAATATTTACCTGAATTTGTGGAAGTTGTTTAGTAACAGGAACAGGTACTTGCAATAAAAGAGTGCTTACTGATGAATCTAAATTAAAAAGAAACACACTTACTAAGCTACAGTAAAAAAGAAAGACTAAAAGGCTCTAAAGAGAAAAATAGTACAACTACACGCAGAAAGAGTTTATGGCAAGAGAGCAAGAGAGCAAGAAACAAACAACTCTCTCAAAAACTTTGTCGGACTTTTTCAATCATACTACAATTAACTTCTGCATGTGGTGTCCAAATAATGCAGACATACATTATTATCAAGGTATTATATGACCTTCAGTTCAAAATATTTTCTAATTTCATCCCAAGAACTTTAAATACTTCACTCACAATGCTGATATAGTGGATGTTATATCACATGACATTTGCTGCACCATTTTTAGGTCTTTCTGTAAAGTTGTACAGCCTTCCACACCGTTAATAATCTTAGTTTAGAGTCATCTGCATCTCTTAGAGAAATTAATGCTGCTAAATCAATTACAAAAATGTCATAAAAAGGAAGTCCTAAGTTAATTCCCTGAGGTACGAATGATAAAGCCATAATTAAATTTGAAGGATTCAAGTAAGATTTAAGTGTAAGTAAACATAAGTTTACTGGCACTCTTGGAGAAACCCAACAAGTTCAATTTGTTGGTCAGAACTCCATCATTAATAGCAACATAGCAATAAATACTATGTTATAAATGTGACAATTATGAAATCTAATTTATATTGTAATCTAATTATTATTACAGGAAGATTGGTTAGAAGGAAGAGGATTGCTTAACTATCTTTCTAAAACGCAGAGTTTTCCCAAGGAATGGAAAAGTTATACTGATACCAAAACACTCCTAAAACCCGGAACTCCAAGTGCCTTCAGGCCACTCTCTCTGCTTGGCGCAGTCAGTAAACTATATGAAGAAATGATATATAATAAGAAGAAATTGTGGAAAAATTAATGAAATATCAGTACGGGTTTACAAAGGGGCAACCTGCAATACAGAAAATAAAGAAACAACAAAGGAAAAACAAAATTGGAATGCTTTAGTAACACTGGATGTCGCTTTTAACTCAGCTAACTGGAATTTGGTACTGCAAAAACTAAGAAAGCGAAGTATCTCTATAATATCATTGCGGAATACGTCGAGGCTAGACACATACAGATAGCTAAACAGGAGACCCTTGAAATTGTAACCGGAGTACCACAGGGATTCGTACTAGGACCTACATGAGTGCAAAGGCTGGGGAGACTTCGTAAATTGATAAGACTTATGCTAAATGTATGAGGGTCTTTTAGGGGAAAAAGAGTGGTATTGTGTGGGGTGGTGCATTCAGTGTTACTGTATGGAGCACCTATATGTGCGGAAGCTCTAAAAGTAAAAAGGAATTATATACTCATCGAATGAACTCAGCGTAGGACTTTAATACGAATGACTGCTGCATTCAAAACAGTCTCAGCGGTGGCACTGCAGGTTATAGCAGAAATACCCCTAATAGATTTGATGGCTAAAAAGAGAAAGAATATACATGAGAGAAGGCAAGGTCAGACTCACTTTGACGTTAAAGGGAGAATAATG